GAATTTACTCCTTACTCTGACACTTTTCAAGAGGCTGTTTCCTCTCTACTAGACAAACAAGCCATTACGTTAGTTCCATCTAGTGATGCCCTTTATGGCTTCTATTCCAAATATTTCATGGTGCCGAAGAAAAACAGAGGTCTCCGTCCAATCTTCGGTCTCAGACACCTCAATGCCTACATTCGACCCCGAAAATTTTGAATGCTCATACTTGACACCGTTATCCCCCTTCTTTCACAGGGAGACTGGTTCATCCTGATCGACCTCAAGGATGTGTACTTTCATATATCCATCCATCTCACCACAAGTATCTCCGTTTCCACTTCAACAATTCAGCTTACCAATTCTGTTCCCTTCCATTCGGACTCTCTACGACCCCATGGACTTTTATAAAGTGCATGGCTCCGGTTGCTGCCTTTCTTCATCTTCAGGGTATCCACATTTACCCTTACATCAACGATTGGCTCATTGTGGCACACCTTCATCTCAACGCCATGCACACAACCTTGCTCACGCTACAAAACCTCGGTCCTCAGGTCAACCATGCCAAATCCCACCTGGAATCATCCCAGACGGCTGCATTCATCGGAGCTCGCCTCGATTCTATATAAGTTCATTCCGCAGGAAAGAATTGCAAAACTAAAGCATGCCATAGTGTTGTTTCAACCCCAAGCATTGGTCACGGCTCAACATGCCCAACATCTGTTCCGATTCATGTCCTTGACAACTTCGGTCATCCTACATGCAAGATTCAAACTCAGACCTCTTCAAGCATGGTTGCTCGCACAATTCAACCCACAGACAGACAACCAGTCCAAACGACTTTGAGTAACACCAGAACTCTCATACCAACTCACCTGGTGGAGCATGCTCATTGTTGGTCTCCCATTCCGTCTTCTTCAGCCCACTGTGCAAGTCACGACCGATGCCAGTCTTTTGGGATGGGGCGCTCATTGCCTGCAGTACAAGATTCATGGTCTCTGGACGAGATCAGAATCGAGACTACAAATAAACCATGTAGAACTCATAGCAGTTATAAAGGCCTTCCACACTTTTCTACCAATCATCCAAGGCCATGCAGTCCAACTAGCAACAGACAACACCACTGCCCTTTTCTACATCAACAAACAGGGGGGCACCCACTCTTCCTCCCTCTTGCACCTAGCAATAGACCTCTGGGAATGGTGCTACCAGCACCATATTTTCCTGATGGTGGTACACATCTCCACAGAGGAGAACTACCTGGCGGACAATCTAAGCCGCCTAACATCGAGATTGCACGAGTGGTCCCTCAAGACAGTGATCTTCCATCTCCTTTGCCATCGCTGGGGAACACCAGACATTGATGTCTTTGCCTTGAGATCAAACGCAAAATGCAAGACTTATTGCACTCGAGCTGGAACCGATGCCAACTCCATTGGGGATACTTTTATGGTCAACTGG